GTTAACTATGGCTATTTGAGAGAACTACTGTCAGACTTATGATCATGTATGGAAATGTTTTCTAACTGGTGTAATTGCCACTTGGTTTGTTTTGGTTACCCTGCAGATGTAAACTATTTCTTCAGAAGACACAGAATACCATAAAGGGACTTAACCAAAAGTCAGTTTTAACTAAAAGAACACTATGGAAACTGCATATGGCAACCCCAAAATAGTATACTCTTATCAAAGGCAGCAACAGAAAACAGATACATGTTTTAAAGTTTAAACTTTGTAACCTGATATAAACATGGAACAAAACTTTATTAGTACAGATAATGGCATGATTTTAGCTCTGAATATTCAAAATAACAGATTTAAGAAAAACAGATGTGTCATACAGTAATGTAAGTACAGTAGTATATTGCATGCCATATATACATTTTATTTGCTTGATCCTCTGTTTTTCACAGAGAATATAACAATGTCTAAGAAGCTGTAGTAGATTACTGTTGGCTGTGCAAGTCATAGCAGATTACTGTTGCCTTTGGAAGGAAGACAAATACTCAGAAGATGTTACTTGTGTCAATGTCTGAAATTGTTGCTCAGCATAGTAAATTGCACTAAAATAAGCATATTGAATCAGATGTGTCAAGTCCTCCACAAGTGCCATTGATTCAAATGGGTGTATTGCAGCCTTACAACGCTAAGCAACAGGATTTCAGCCAATAACCATCAAGCAGCAATTAAGATCACATCAACTAATCAGCACTGGTGTGCATTAATCTAAATGTATCTATGCAAAGCTTATACATAATAATTAGAATATGCAAATATATATTCTACTTTCTATATTTACTTTGTTAAGTGCTCACAAGATTTGGTATTAGCAGTCCATGAAAGTCAATTCTGAGCACTTTTTAGGCAAACTATTATGGGTATGCTACACAGGTCCTGCCTTTAGGTGTTTGGGAATTTTATAAAGGTATCATTTCCCACAGACAACTGCATTCAGATACTCAAAGTTGATCTTGGATTTAGGGACCATCCAGTAACCCAACTTTCAATATTCATTATTCTCATTTACAGAAGTGACAAGCATTCTGTGATTTCTACCAAGCAATCAAAGCATATTTAGTTTCTTTTTCAGCATATTTCAAATGGTCATCTGTAATAAGCCTCTGTAATCACAGAATTCACATATGCAAAATAGAAAGCTATATGATTTTATTCCCCTTTTACATACAATCCAACCCAAGCTAGATGCACAAATATACCCATTGAATTAATAGGTGAAGCTAGCCATGACTTCAGTCCCACTGATTTCAAATGTAATTAACCTTTGTCCTCATTGTGCTGCTTTGAATCAGGATATTAGCAGTCAGTGCTCCCTCCCTAATATTTATCATTTGTACCTCATCATCTATTTTTGTTGTATAATTCTATAAATTATACTATATCTATGGAACCTTTTCCCAATTAATCATGCACAGAATTGCAGGCTCATCATTTATTTTAATTCCTTGGGGTATGTGCACACAAGCACAGGGCCGCTGTGTCTTTGGTTTAAAATATCTCAGAATTCCAGGAAATATTAGAACAACAGGAAGAAGTCCTGTTACGGTATCTTAATTGCATGGTTTCAACTGTATACAAAGCTAAACACTGTAAAGGGGGAGGGACTAAAACATGCACACACAGCCTCTTTCCTGAGAAGAACCAGATTTAGTGGCTTCTGTTCAGTATGACAAATGTAATGCTAAAAATACAATAAAAGCAGCAAGCTGAAAATAAGAAGGGTGTGTGTTAAGCCCTTAATAATTCATTCACTTCAACAGAAATCTGATCAATAAAATTAGGCTGAATAGTATATCAATAACCAAATTATTTTCCCACTGGAATATTAGATATAAAGTTAAAAGGGTATGCATGTGGATTCAGTGACACAAAGTATTTTCCCCAATTAAACTACTGTTTAATTCTGGTTTGTTTTAACTACAGCTTAAACTAACTCGAGGTCAAAAACAGCCATTTATCCCTGGTAATTTAAAACAAAAAGGCAAAGTTTCACTCTCCTTTTCACAGGTACAAGGAGAAAGGGACAAGTACACTTCAACTTTCTGTAGTGCTAAACCATGGTTTTGCATTGTATCTAAAATGGGTAATTACTTATATGTATATACTTGTCAAATGCCCAGCATGTACACTGCTGATACGCCCACAAATTGGCAAATAATGTTATTTCCTTACAAACAAAAATAATGCTTCAACTATAAAATGAGGCAACCTATGGGGGAAAAAATGAAGCAGAGAGAAATAAAGTCAAAGAAGTCAACTTAGATAAGCCAAAGATTTTGGATTGCAGCAAATGCATTTTGAGTTGTGACCAATGCTGTTCTTATTAGATGATATGACATTTCTGTCTTTTGCTATGCTTGGGTTTATAAAAATGGTGGTTGGACTATCTGATTACTCTGAAAAGAAGATTGGGAATTAATTATAATAAAACAAAGCTTGTCATCTTCATTAGTAGTACAGTGAAGCAAAGGTAGATAATCTTTAGCTGGCCATATGAGCAGCAGGATTTATTAATATTAATGTTTTAATGATTGTTTTTAATATATGATATTATTATAATACTGCCTATTTTTAATGGTTTTAATGTTTTTAAAGTTTTAATATTGTTGTACGCCGCTCAGAGGCCACTGGTAATGGCATGGCTAAGAAATCTTGTAAATAAATAAATAAAATAATGCTTGGCAAATAGAGCAATGCCCATTTTTTAATTATTTGGTCTTTCTTTTCAGGAGCCCTTGTTTTAGACTACATAATTCAGTGCATCTCTTACAACTACATGACAACTGGTGGGTATAGTTATAGAATTCCTATCTTCTAAAGGAGAATAATCAACAACCCCAATGCTTAAAACATTCCAGGGAAAAGTATAACGCTGAAATCTGAGGATGGAATGAGAGAGTGCTAGCTTGCCCAACTAGAAATAGACAGAATAATTTTGTAAGGGAAATCGTAGCCCTTCCCAGGGTACTCTTGAAGCAACTCTGCCTCCAATTACAGAGAGCTCAACTGCAATTGTTGAGATTTTCAGGAAGCCTGATGGCTTCTTATATGACCATTTAGTCAAACTCTCCTATTGGTGTTACTGAGACATTTACCCCTTATTCTGAAAATGTATTCCTTGCCTTCACTATAAGACATTAAGCCCTGGGCCACAAAACAGATCTCCGGCTGGGATCTTGAGCAGGATGCCAACTGAGATGCTCGATTGATTCATAATTCAAAGTTTCTCAATTTCAAGAAAAGCAAATTTACCTTCATGGTAACTAGTGAAATCTTGCTAGTATACTACTTAAAAAAGCATTTACAAACTATACCTTGAGGGAAGAACTTGTAAAGTTCCCATGAAGCAGGTCCTCTGCCCCATTGTCAGAATCAAGTACAGTGGTGCCTCGCTTAACGGCAACAATCCGTTCCAGGAAAATCGCCGTTAAGCGGAAACATCGTAAAGCGAAAATAAAAAAACCATTGAAACCCGTTCAGTGCGTTCCAATGGGGTAAAAACTCACTGTCCAGCAAAGATCCTCCATACGGCAGCCATTTTCGCTGCCTGCATAGTGAGGAATGCTTCCCTAAACACAGCGGGGAGCCATTTTAATTACCCGGTGGCCATTTTGAAACCGCCAATCAGCTGTTTAAAAAACATCGTTTTGCAAAGACTCGGTTCCTGAAGCAGGGAGCCAATCATCGCAAAGCAAAATTCCCTCATTTAGACCATCGTTTTGCGATCGCAATTGCGACTGCAAAAAGATAGTCGTAAAGCGGATTCATCATAATGCGGGGCAATCGTTAAGTGAGGCACCACTGTAGAGTACTTTAAACATTATGTCATATTATTTTACTAGGTATTCTGCATTTTAACATTTTATTGTTTTACCTATATTCTCTATTTTAGATGCTATGTTTAAGTCCTCAGTTTCTATGACCAATGATTACAACAACAAAAATACAATTAATTCTATCCAAAAAGTGCTGACACCTTGCCATAGGCTACTGAGACATTGCAGGTTCTATAAAATTTGTACTGCTCTAAAGGTGTGGCTTTTTTGGTATTCTTTCAAAGAACCAATCCCAGTAACTGGAAAAATGAACTAAGTGACATTAAATCATTTTGGTAGACAGAATGGCCAAAATACATGACACTGCTGTTTCTAATTGATGTTAAATCCTAAACTGTTAATGAAATTTAGTTCAAAACGCATCTTTAAGACATGATAAATCTGAGTTATTAACTTGAATCCTGAGTTTTTGTTTCTATAAATTCAAGACTGATTCCAAGGTACTGATGGTTAGGTTGCACGATCAATTAACTGAGGCTTAAGGGATTAGAAATGTTCTCATGTATTCATCATGATTAGCACTAAACTGGGAACGTGGAAGAGGGTCCAAGATGAGAAGGAGGATGTGGGGAAGACATGAAGGACATGAAAAAAGAAAGGAGGATTGGAACGCAAGCCTAGAGAGCTTCCCCCAGTACCTTAACAATAGTTAAGAGAGCAGGAAACATTATACTTGTACTGGATCTGAGCCAGTGTGCTTATTTCAAATCAATAAGCATTTAGTAACAACGGATATTACTTTCAAAGGAGTGTTTAAACAGGGCAGAAGCAAGATTATAACAATTGTTGCGGTCTAAAGATAACATACAGAATCCTTAAGAACAGAGTGCAGCATACTCCAAACCTACAGAACTTCCAACATCAATTTCAGCATGTCTTGTTATTCGATTACCTTCCCAACATAAGTATATTAAATTGTTACAGTTTTGACTACCCTTTATCAAACATAACTTCATATGGAGTGGCATCCCTCTCAGTGAATAACTGTTTCCTTAAAGGTATAATAATCAGAGCTGATCTGCCTTGATGATCAAGAGCCAAATTATTCTACTGTTATTCAAACCACAAGCTACAATACAGATAAAAAGTACATGCAGTTAACTGTACCTGGTACTCGTTACATTCAAAAGGAGAATCCTTGTGTATGGCCATCTGATACTTGGCAAATAAAGAGGCAGATTGGGTGAAAGATGATTTGAATCGTGGATCCTCAAAAGAAACTGGTACTAACCTCACCTTCAGAGCAAAGGAAAACAGAGGCATTTACCTGAATGTGTTCAAATGCTCCTGCAGGTAAGGCTAGGCTATTATCTCCTCAAATCCATTTCAAAGCCTCTGCTAAGGAGAAACACAAGGAAACCCAACAACCGCAGAAATGTCTAAAACATTGAAGTAATGGTGATTCATGTTAGATTGATTCTGCTCTACATGAACAGCAGCACTAGTGTGGTACAGTGGGTAGTACCAGGCTAGGATTCAGGGGACATGGGTTCAAATTCAAGTTCATTCATGGAACCTCATGGGAAGAACAGGCAGCAATGGTAAACCACTTCTTGAACATTTCGCCTACTTCAAAAATCCTATCGGGTTCACCCTAAATCAAAAGTGACTAGATGGCACATAACAACTACACAAACAAGAAACCTTATTTTGTTTACTTACTGGAATTTTTATGTTTAGTACCACATCTCAGTTTATTTACATTTCCAAGTCAATCAACTCTTCCTGCAAAAACGTACAGACCATGAAAATTCCAGGGAAACCAACGATTTGACTGCCACTGTTCTAGAAGGACATACTTAAGGTTTTCAAATTATTTCCAGAGCAACACAGTGATTACTGGAAGATGTTTCCCTGAAACAAATTTGGTCTGCTATTACTGATATTCCACTATAAGATGCAGCTGGAGCAGTGCTTAGTTCATGCAAAGCAATAATGATTTCAAAGGTTTAATCACTGTTCCATGTCAGCTGGCTTTGCAGTTAAGTTTTATACAATACCTGCTGAAATAGATCTAGATTATCACAGATTCTCCATTAGTCATAGTTCTTAAAACTGAAGATTAAATTAATTATTTGCAGTCTTTTCCCAACTCCAAACTTGTTAATTATTTTAGAGAAGTGACAGACTGTAACTCTTTTAAAGCAATGGAGCTGTAAAAGCTTTCAGCAGATATGGTTTTTACTGTGATTATAAGGAGAGGATTAGAAGAGGGGAAAAAGAGAAAGCTCCTTGTGCTGAGCAGGAAACCTGGTGTCAATCACCAGGGCCAGGTTTTTAAGAGCCAGTAGCCATTGATAACCTCATTTTCTGCTTCACTGGCCTTGGTCATTGTGTGTGTTTATACTCAAAAGTTAAATCCAATGTTCAATGTAACTAACTCTAAACAGCTTATCCATAAAGTATGAAACATTCTGAAAACTATTTTAATTCTAAACCATCTTACACAGTCTTGTATCCTATCAGGTCCACATGCCCTCCCCACATTTTTTTATCCTTATAATTGTGACAAGCACATTTATTAGACCATTACCCTCACCATAAAATTACCCCAACTGGTCACTTAAAAAACAACAACATATAAACAGACATTTCCAATGTGGAATTTAAGAGTTCTGCCACAGAATGCAGGCAGGACATGGTGTGGGGAAAGTAAGTTGGAAATGGTAAGTGAGGAAAAACGCTGGAAAGTATGGGTTATGGGACGGTTGGAAGATGAAGAACAACAGAATGGTAGGCTGCAGCATGAGCAGGAAGAAGATATATCATGAACAATGCAATATGCAAAAGAATGTTTAGAAGGAACTTCTGGGTTCTAATGCAGAGCAAGTAAAATTTGACTCAGTCTTAACTACCGTGTGTCTTGCCTGACACCAAATGAGTGCCTCTTCAGAAAGTTGCACAATGTCCTACAATAAGTGTAAAATTCGAGGAGAGGTTCTAGATGAGAGACAGAAGAGTGTGGAAAATAGAAGGCAGGTAGAGATTAAGATATTGAACTGGTACAAGAGAAGACAACATACTCTTCCCACACTTCATGTAATTTTGTTTACATTCCTCAACCCCTTTCAATGGAACATACTTTATGGATAGAATCTCCAGCAGAAATTCAATCCAAGGTAATTACTTCTAATGATAGGCATCCTTTTGTTTGTTTGTTTGGCCTACCTACCATCCCATTAGTGCAACAGCACTACAGTGGTGCCTCACATAACGAGCGCACTGTTTAACGACGAATTCGCATAGCAATCTATTTTTTTAGATCGCTACTGCGACCGCATTTCGATAGTTAGATAGGGCGAAAATCGCATTGCGATGATCGGTAAGCGTTTCGCTTACCGATCTTCGCATTGCGATGTTCCTAGAACAGCTGATCGGCGGTTCCAAAATGGCCGACGGACGCCCAAAATGGCCGCCGCAAGTGTTTTCGCGTCCTGCCCTCGCTTACCGAGGGCGCGAAAATGGCGGCGCTATGGAGGAACTTCGCTCAACGGTGAGTTTGGGCCCCATAGGAACGTATTAAACCAAGTTTAATGCGTTCCTATGGGTTTTTCGATCCGTTTAGCGATGTTTCCTCATAGCGACGATTAACCCGGAACGGATTAACGTCGCTATGCGGGGCACCACTGTATTCTTATAGAATATTGGTAGCAGTACTTCTTCCTCTTCTTCTTTTGCTTTATATTACTACTTATGAAATACACAATTACCTGTAAAAGTGCCCATTATAAAAGCATGAACAGAGTTCTTAACATGTAGCTGTTCTAATGTTTGGGCAATTTACAGAGTATTCATTTGCTTTCCCAGTCTTCTCTTCATAACCTCACTAATATCCAAGCAAAACACCTTATTATTTCTCTTTCCTGTTATAAATGTGTTTAATTATTTGTGGCACCCATGAGATCTGTAAAACCTACTAGTATTTCCAAGATGTTCAGTTTGGCTGCGTTCGTATCATTTTTTAAGCTTCCATGGGAAATAAGGTTTTTAAAGAAAGAGCTATTGATTGTCTCAAAATGGACCAAATCAACATGCTGCCTGACCTGACTGGCGGTTGGTTTATCAGGTGGGTCCTTGTGAATAACCATCTGGTAACGTTTATAGACCTGGTAAGACTCCTGAAATGTGGCTTTGAACTGGGAACTTGGTGGAGATGATCGCACCAGCCTCACCTTCCAAAGAATTAGAGCAACAATTATTAATTATTGCAATAACAGCCAACAAAGAATTGCATATAAGAATAATTAGAAACTGGTTTGGCAATAACACAGAAACATGTAAATCATAATTCCCTCAAAACTGCACTGTTCAAGGTAGTGAAGCCAATGTTATTTTATTCTTCATTACCTTGATTCTTCAAAAACAGAAAGTTTTGTTCTAGTATAACTATTTCAAATCTGGTTTCTCTCACTGATCTAAAACTACAACACAATTTAACACAATTTAATCAAATGCTTCTGAAATAATTGATAATATAAAATCAGTTCTGAGTTAATTATGCAGTTGTATAAGGAGGGTTACGATTTCTCCCTGTTTGGTGGCAGGTTCAGTCCTTTTCCTAGAGAACACACATCATAAGGGCTACCGCAAATCAGTCTGTCGTCAGAGCATTCCTACCTGAACCAATTTGGTTCCCTGTCAGGGGCTATTCTTTTTCAGGTGCATATAGGATTGCTCTATTTTGGTTTGGCTCCAGCATGTGAAATCACTGGGATCAAACAAAAGCAAACGCCTTGCTTACAATTTCCCAGTAGACAGCTTAAGCCCTTAATGATATTAGGAAACTGAAAACAATACTGGGAAATCGAAAATCTCCTCTGCTCCTCTGTGGGGGGAGCAGGAAGAAGCAAAGATTTTCTTTAAAGCTTAATTTGGGCAACGCTAATGTGCTATTGCATTTAGAAAAAAAAATGAAAAAGTGAAAACTTCCTCTCAGGAGGAGGAGGAGGAGACAGGAGATGATGGGGGGGGGAGAGTTTTTTCTTTCTTTTAAAAAACCTTTCTCTTTAAAGGGAGATGGGCCAAATAGGGCTGCTTTAGATGTAGTGTATTTCCTGACCTAGTATAGGGGGCATATCACTCGCTATAGCAACCTTAAACAACCCTGTTTAGCCCAATCCAAACCATTTCAATTTTCCTTAAATCCTATTGTACAGTACAGCCTCCTCTTAAATTCAAAGGGCAGCACATGGCATGGGAATGGGTTCAGAGAGGACAACGGCAGGAAGGGGCACAAAAAGATCTGTGGCTGAACCAGGAAACACGAGTATTCACAAAGCAGGGGCCTGGAGCTACTCAGGACAGGTTTTTTCCTCCAGAAGCTAAAATGAACAGTTTTGCTAGTTTTTTTTTAACTCATAATAATTCAGAACAAGTAATTTGGAGCAATTAATGAGCAAAGTCCACTTATAACAACTGTTTGTACACAAATAGTTCTGAATATCAACAAGAAGTATAAACTTCTTCCATGACACAGATATCAGGGACAATTTCCCAAGTCATCTCAGAATGAACCAGTCATGAACATTTTGCTTCCCTTTCTAAGTATTTTAACCAGGAAAGAAGAGTGATTCCTGCTCATCCAAGCATGTCTCAAACTTGTAAAACTAGAGTCAGAAATCTGGGCAGCCACAATTTCTTCCTAGCAAATTCCACAGGAAGCAGGAATACTACTCAAGGAGATAATGTGAAAGCTCAAAGACCTGATTCCCTAGAACCAGGGCTAAAAATTGCTCTCCAGGGATCTCTCTGTTGCCCAAAGAAGTAGTCAAACGGGTTGGGTAGCTGACTTTTAAATAAGTCTAGCAGATTGCCCAGAATGATTCAAATTTAGAGAAACTAACAAATTTTCAAGATGCAGCAAACATCTAAGAGAGACAGCATAATTATTAGTCTATTAAACTAAGATATAAATCTTAACAGTATTTAACATCATCTAAATTTATGAATATGACTCTAACCATAAAGCTGGCACTGTTAAACTGTGAAGAACATGATGCTAAATTTGAAAGGTCAATCCTACCATTATGTATAGTAGGCTGCCTTAGCTAGCTGATTCTGGATGTCAGGAAATGGCAGAAAATTTTATTTATTTAGTTAGTTCTTACTACTTTTTTATTGCCAGGAATGAGAAGAAGTATTTATGGGATTGGGGGTGTGCTATGTGTGCCAAAATTACTCGGTTGGCCTTTAGGTACTTTGAATCCCAATAGGTGAGGGGGAGGTAGCACTATTTACAGGTTGATCTCTGGCACCCAAATGTCTTGGCCTGGTTCTATAAATCTATGTTATATCAAGTCTCTCATCTGATATACACTTTGGTGCTTTTATTCTGTTAGCATAGTATGCCATTCATTTAGATGGTACCACAGCACCCTCTTGTGTTTCTGCAACAAACATATTTGCAAACTTTTTTTGGACACAGGGAACTACAGACACACACAATACCTAAGCTAAATCCAGTTTTAAGCCTAACTACAGTATATGTTCTTCTAGTCGGCATTTTAATCCTAAATAGAGTAAAGTAGAGGTCTGCCAGGAAAAACATCTAACATGAGATGGACTGAATAAGCAAAGAAAGCCATGGCCTTTGGTTTGCAAGGCCAGATGAGATTATCAACAAAACCATCTGGAGATCATTAATTCATAGAGTTGCCGTAAGTTGGGAGTGACTTGACAGCACACAACAACAGACTAGACACCCTGTAATGACAAGGGCTTGTTAATCATCACTAATGTAAATTGAATTGATATCAATAGGTTTACTCTAGTTAGGACCAAAATTGGATTTAGCCATACAGTACTACAATACATTGAAAAACAAAGGAATTTTGCAAATATAAGCAACTGATACTAAACCTTTTCAGTCTTATTTTTCTATTTAACAACTATTCATATCACACTACTCAGTTGCTTTCAAGTTAATAATCCAAGATCAAATTTTCATTCAGTATACAATAAGCAGTACACATATCTCAGTACCTCTAACTGGTGCACAGCATCAGGAGGTAAGGTGGCAAAAACAAAGTCTTCAATTGATTTGGGCTGATTTGTTTTAGCTTTAGCACTCTGCCCAAGCAAATTCTGATCTTCAGGTCGAAGCCCAGGGTTTTGTGTTGAGTTCTGAAGACTTCTTTGCAATTTGTGCTCCTTCCGTATTTCCTTGGCTTTACGGCAGGGAGGTTTACTCAAGTCAGCTCCTTTGCCTAGAAGACCAATGTGTACATACCAAATAAGGAAAGCATCTGTTTGAGGAGCAACACTCATCTGCCTTCATATTTTTCAGATTGTTAAAACAAATCAATTTTCTGATATTCTAACTACATTTGATTACTGCTGTTCCAGTCATCACTGGAAATGTTAAGTAAAATAAACACTATCTTATTTGTGCATAATGTTACACTACTGTCCTGTAAGCCTAGAAAAGCAAATAAAATGATTATGGTTTAGAGCCTAAGACAAATTAATGTACATAAATTCATGGAAGGAACATTCTCTCCCTCCTTCTCCTGTCTGCCGCAACTTGTGAATACTGAAAATCCTCTCTAGGGGGCCTAGGGGCCCTTCTGAACAAGGTGGAATGGGGTACAACGGGCTCCAATGGGAAGGAAGCAATGATGAAATTGAAGACTTTCCTTCTTCAAACCTCCTTAACTCACCATCAAAACTTTTATTTAAAGAAATGCATCCAAGCGTAACGAAAACTCCAGCTATCTAATGATGCCAACAGCTTGAAAAATAAAACAATCAATACTCCCACAGGAAGGAAAAAACAGCTATAGCCAAGGTAAAATGAGTAAGTGAAAGAGAGAGCAAAACTAAATGTAACCTAGAAAACTGACTATAAAACATTAAAAACTAAGAACTCAGATACCCACAAAAATAATTAAGTTGTTAACATGGCCTAAAAAGGGGCTAGTACTGAAACCAGAAAACCTTGGTTCATAGTTTCAACAGGCAAATTCAAAAACAGAAATGGAAAAGATAGGAAAGAATTTTTAAAGACATTAAAAATGTCTGAAATTCATTGCAGAGGTAAAGAATAATTTCCATTTCTCTGCATGTTTCCTTGAGACAGATTTTTTAGTTGGTTTTGCCAATGAAAGACTGACCAAATGTCAATATAATGACAGATTTCTTTTCCATTTCAGGAATATTAATGTGCCAATAGTTCCCTTTGCACAGATACAATAAAAGATTATAAGAAGCATTCTCTCCTAGAGAAGTAATGTCTCAAAAGATAGCAGCCACCCTGAGACCTAGACAGATTGGACTGGATCTAAACTTTAGTCTTCCACAAATGAAAAGCCACCCATTCACTCTTAAGAGAAACGTTTTCAAGGGCAAAGGGGGCAATAGAGAAAGTAACAAATATAATATCTTCTTCTTTCACTGGCTGCAGCATCAAACTGAGTAGAAAACAACTAAGAGCATGTTTCCACTGGGGTGCTGTTTTCAAGTGGGTGCCCACGGAAGGGGTGGGATGCTGAACTGTGGAACATTTGTTCGGCCTTTGGTCAAACCAGTGGTTCATGCCCATCTCTAAACAGAAGTATTGTTTTCAAAATCTATCTATATATATCAATTTGATATAAGTTTCTGGTATCATCTGTATGTTATTTTAACTATCCTTGCATCAAGATGCTTCAACATACAGTAGTTTAATTTTGCTTCTATATTCTAATTAAGCAGGAATCCTGATTGCATCTAAGCCAGTATGGAAGAAGCTGCGAATGGTTTGTGCAACTAGCTATTTGTAATTAACTCCCTTTTCTAATAACAAAGGTGAAACTAAATTTCATTACACTTGTAACTTAACAAGAGACAGTTTTACTTCTTTGCTGTATGTCCATAAGTGTTTATGTTCTCTTCTTATATGTTCAGTTATTGTCATCATAAAATTATCAGAGTTCGGTTTTGGTATTTTGGATTGCATATAGCTTAAACAATACAAAACAATTATGAGAAATAACAGAAGACAAAGAAGAAAGCTAGATACAAACCTCACTGGGCATTTTCAGAAATAACATACCTGGCCTGGGTGTTGTACGGCCAACTTTGACTGACTGCAGTGGCTTGCTTGAGTTGTCATGAGCTCTCTCACTACATGATTCAGTATGTTCAGCATCTACTTTCTTCACATTTCCTTCCCCTTTTTCTTCCTCTTCATTCTCCACCTTCTCTGTATGATCAATACTCAGCAGCTCTAGTTCAGATTGGCTGGTCTCTGGTTTATCTTTTAATAAAAAACTGCAGCCATAAGCATCTTTGGTGTTTGAATCCATGGGATCCACTGTAAGCAGAGAAAAAAAACGACCACAGAGAAAAACAGCAGTTGAAGCCTCTACACAAGGTAACTTTACATTAACTTGGAGCAAAACACTCTTGCAGCTACAGATACCAACACATTGCAGCCAAATAACTAACATTAAGATACAATGTAACCTTTGCGGAATTGCAGACATACATTAACAATTAATTTGATGGTTCTTTTAGTTTTTAACAGGTAACTTGATTTTAAAATTGGAGATAACTAATTGAACTTATTTTAGGCTCACATCACAACACAAGACAAAGCAAAGGAGTATTCTGTTTATACATTGTAGAATATAAACATTATGGCTCCAAGTGAATGTAGGAGTTGACACAGTGACTACTCAGCTGCATGTGTGAAGAAGCCCATATTCGGTGTAAGAGTAACTTCTCACATGTGTTTCCCAGCACCTGATATTGAGGTTTACGGCTTCTGACACTAGAAATAATACATAACAATACAGATTAGCAGTCACTGATAAGCTTCTCCTCTATTACACTGCCTAACCTATACAAGCTAGTGGTCCTCATAACAAACTCCATAGCCATGCACTGTGGAAAGCAGTAAATAACTAATCTCTAATTTAGAGTGTACACTCTAGTTCAACATGCCTTGTTGAATTAAAACCAAGGTCCAGACAGTCTTTGAAAGAATCTCAACACTGATGGCGGTCCACTGCCCTATTTTCTGTCTATCTTGGCTTTACAGTATTGATTTTCTTATTATTATTTTCCTATTTTTTTAGTTTATTCTAGTTGTTTTGTATTAGCCATGTATCTGTTGTATTTTATTGTTTAATTTTATATTGGAAGCTGCCTAGAGTGGTCCATTGGTCCAGATAGGTGGGGTATAAATCAAATAAATAAATAAAATAAGGTATGTATGTATTTCATAAATATACAGACACAGCAAATACAGTCTTGCTCCATATATAAGTAGACACAACAAATATGGAGAAAATAAATGTACTCTTACATCACAGCAGATTTATACATTTTTATAATTGTCTACAAATCAGTGTGAACTGTACTCTGAAATAAAACTCATTGACCCAGACAGATAGCTATAGTCCTGTATAACTTGTACAGTCATGAAGGGTTGATCTTCACAGAAAAGCCATTTTAAAAAAAAATTGGCAAAATACAAGAGGAATTAATTTTAATGACTGAATTTCACCTTCACTGTCTACTTTGGACAGTTCTCCTTGTGTTAAAAATTTCAGCATCTTCTTTAGAACCTTCTTATGAGATTTGGAAGGCTGAAAATGTAAAGCCCGGCATCTAAAAGAAGAAAAATAAATCAAAGCATGGTCAAAATATATCTTCTTAAGTACAGATTTTATTTGTACCTTATTATCTCCCATTATATTATCTGAATCATAAACACTGTCCTTTGCATCCCATTTTGCACAATACTGTAACATAACTAAGAATGCTTTATGCTTTGACTAGCCTTGTTCTTAAGCATTCATCTGACGCAATAGCATGCAGCTGAGTGAGAAGGTATGCAGAGAACTCCATCCCTGCTCTGCACAGAAACCAAGCAGCTTCTAAGAGGAATAGAAATGAGGCTCACTGGTTTTGGAAGGACAAAGCAAGTACATCCTACCTTGCAATGTTCCAGAAACTTAGTAAAAAGCACTCCAGATTATTGCAACTTTTGTACACTTGATTATACGACTCAATTACACTTAACTTTTATTTTCACAGTCATCTGCAAGGGATATTGCATTTGGAAACATTACTGTTGATGCTGGAAGTGGCATTCCAAAAATAAGAACTTCTCTATACTCGAAATGAAACATAGGGATGTGCTAGTAGAGATGGGCATGAATTGTGGTTCAGCATGGTGCCTGCACAGGTGTTCCATGGGGGCCACACACTTCCCTCTTCCACCTCCTCCGGGTGATATCCCACTCACTAGCAGCAGTGTGGGCTTCCCGCTCTTGTCTCCTCATCTGAGTGGACGATCGCCCAAAAGGGAAGTACGCTGCTGCCGGTGGGTGGGTAAACTAGCCTGAACCACCAAATTTGGGTTTGTGCCAATCTCTAGTGGCTAGTGTGCTCCCCTCCCCTCCCCAATACACACCGAAGGACACTCCTAATATTCACAGCAAACAGATTGCACAACACAGGCATTTAATGGCGCAAAGAGGGTGTATTGCACATACTAAATTCTTACCTTATTGTATATTGAGGACAACATGTCTGATTCATAGTTGGCTTATAAACGTATTTCCCACTCCTAAAAGTTAAAAAAACTTATTTAAAGATGTGTTTATGAGTTTAAAGAATATTCTTACACTAAATATATGGTAATAAATTCTGTATTACAGGGTGGGGTGTGCTTTCAAATAATCAATTTGCAATCTGCTAGAATGTAACTTTTCCAAAATGATACTCACCTTTTAAGCTCTATATCAATGCTAAAACAAATATGAGATCATAACTCTAAGATTCTTCTGCACCTGCTACATTCATCTTAAAAGCCCACAGATTTTAGTAAAACAGAAGTTGCATTAAATTATGTCTGCAACTACTAATCTTCTTAAAAGAGATATACTGTAACTCATCTTTCAGACATATCTCCAAAACAGTCTAGACCAGTGGTCCCCAACCTTGGGCCTCCAGATGTTCTTGGACTACATCTCCCAGAAGCCTTCGCCACCACCTCTGCTGGCCACGATTTCTGGGAGTTGAAGTCCAAGAACATCTGGAGGCCCAAGGTTGGGGACCGCTGCTCTAGACCTCTTGATGATACAGTACAATCAATTAACTCATCTCTTCCTGACAAAAACAAAACAAAAAGAGATAACAGGTGAAACAATGTTAAAGGTTTTCACCAGCTTTTTGGCATTCCTGTCAAATACAGCTACCCCTACAAGATCTGTAGAAATCCAGTGGAAATAACTTTCCTCCTGGAAACCTGCTTCAAGGCAGCAGTGGGGTGACATCCCTCATGGGGGCCAGATAAAACATGAATTCAGCCTGATCCTGGATAAAATCATTATGGGGATATGAGATAAAAACTCTTCACCCAGTTTCCAGCTATCCCTGCCACTAGTACTGCAGGAAAGCCAAATACCTGGCACATTATCACAGGACAGTTGCACTCGAATTGAGAGCTCTTGGTTCAAGAAGCAGCAACCACTTTCTTACACCAAGTTCCAACACACTGATGAACACAGCTATAGTTGCCATTGTTCAAATGATGAACAGTTGTTACAACAGAATTGTGACACTTATCTTAAAAAGGAAACTAAATTTGTCCTCTGTGCAGCAGTGGAAAAGGAAACCAAGTTCCCTACTCATTACCAAAAAGACTTTCTAAGAATATGAGTGACAGCTGATTTGTATGCTACACCAGAACAGGAAAAGGGCAGCAAACGGCACTGTGCTTCTTTCTCCAGGACCGTCATTTATTGGGAACTCCCCGCCCTGCCAGATTCATCCTGGCCAACTTACTCTGCATTCCCTACTGGTGCTCATCTTCCTACTGTCTACAGATTTCACAAGGATGCAATATATTCTGCAAAGGGGAAATATTCTACCACTAGCTCTACAGAATCTTATCTTCACAAAACTGTCAGAGTGGTATTTGCAGATTGGAGGCAGCCATCAGACAAATATTCTTGGCAAGCAGCAGCTCTTGGTTTTCTTCACTAGCCTTGCCACCTAGGGATATCTAGAAGTCAAAATGCCAAGGTCTGAATATGGGATCTGGTTGGGAAACAGAGTTGCCTTCAGCAGAGCCCTGAGATACACAGAAGGTAACCTAGTTTCTCAACCAGGACTTGAAACAACTTCTTCCCCAGCAGAAACACTGAGGCACCACATGGTCAAACAATATTTTATCAGTTTTTAAGAGGTAGCAACCCTCAAGTTCAAATAAGAGTATAGTCTAAGTGTTTATGTTATCCATTTCTGTCAAACAAAAGGGTCTGAAAAGCTAAGGAATGACCTCAGAGAACTGCCACTTGCCAGATGAGGCTATATCAAGCTCTATGAACTGATGGTCAGAAGAATAATGAGAAGGACTGAGATGTTAAAGCTGAAGCTGCACTAAATGGAGGGCATTCTGCTAATCATTTCTGAAAATCTTTTACAATCTATCCAGTGTTCAGTAACTAGTTCATGAGTAGTCTCCGGGCAGGGTATGTATGTATGTATGTATGTATGTATGTATGTATGTATGTATGTATGAATCAATCAATCAATCAATCAATCAATCAATCAATCAATCAATCAATCAATCAATCAATCAACTCTTTTTTAATAGTAAAAGTCATCTACTTAAATTTTAACACATTCTTCAGTATTTAAATACAGAACTTAATTACTGTATACCAACAATGCTCAGAAAACATATCTTACCTTCGCCATCCCCTGTCTATAAGGTCTTGGTAATCCTCAACAGTCAGTGAATGTGCCCACATTCCTAGAACAAATATAAGACACAGAAAAAAGTTGACAAGAATCCTGTTGACAGTTCTGCTCCACCCACACAGTTCTACACAATGTCCTGGTTTGCCAAGTACAAGTGAAGATCACTTGTCTAAATGAGTGCCATTTCCACAAGAAGGTATGGGACACCTACTTGTTCAAGAACCAAGAATCATAAACCACTTGGGCTATGTCTTAATGCATGTGGTTTGCTACAAAGAGGATCCCAGCTTTTGCTTTCAAATAAAGGGAGCAAACTATCAACAAAACATTGTGGCAAGCAAAAACTCAGCAGCTTAATGTGCAATGTTGAGAGAATATGTCACTTGTTAGCATTTCTTATTTCACATTTTAGAATAGACTTTATAAGGCATTTTTCTACAGAAAGCTATAAGTATAGCAAATTCTGTTGCAGCACAAGACGTTTTCAAAAATTTAACATTAACTGGAAAATTTATAATTCAGGTTAATACTTTCTCTAATCAACAGAAAGAGTAGGCCTTTGGTCTCGATGGGCGAGGTAGAAGTCAAATAAATAAATAAACAAACAATAAAATCAACAAACTTTGCAACATTTATCTAAGACCTCCCAATCACACTATAATTATTATCTGCCTCACAATCCCAGACACCAGTCCAATTCACTATGCCCAGGGCATTATTTTGCTTCAGGTTTAATAGGAAGTGTACCCATACAAAGGTCAAGATAAGAGCACCCTGAAGCCAGTCAACTTATTTGATGTGAAGCAGAAAAATCTCTCAAGAACCTTTCACACTCCCTGAAATATATCAATAAATTATGCAACGAATGAATTGGTGCCCTTTCATGGCATCCAGGACTGACTGCTGGAGGCCAATGGCTCACTTTCTATAATGGTCGGACTAGCCATTCAACCTGGAAGTCCTGCCTAAGGAAAAAAAAATGGGAGCAGTCACAGAAGGAACAGCCACCTTGTTCTCTATTTTACTTGCCTGCTGAATTTTTCCTCAGGATATGATGTTCAGCATAATGAACCAAGTCCCCCACTGTCCACGGATGAGAGGAAGCAGCTGCTGCTCTTTGCTGTTGCCAGTACCAACATCACATGCTCACTTCCTCTCACCCAGTCTCTGTTGGATATATTGCAACCTGCACATGATGCCTTTGGGAGATTTTGGCTGGGAGAGACCTTTCTGGACCCGGATGGATATCAGTAAAGTCAGTAGCAACCAATTCTTTCCTCTCTACCTCAGATTCTTTTTCCTCTCTTTTTTCCAGTCAGGTTTCTGTCAGTGTTAGCAAGGGAATCTGTCAGCTTCTGACAGTTAAGTAACCAATCAAAATTAACCAGTTAAGCTCAGTGATATAACTAGTTAGTATTTTTACACACCAGGATGTTTGTTTTTAATTTAAAAAACTGTTAAGCAAAGAGGAATGTTATATTCTTTCTAATTACCACGGTTTCTGAGTGAATGTGCTGAGACAGAAAGTGCCAGTTAAGGTAAACTAAATTGCCTCCACTGAGGGAGACTTGAAGGTTCTTGCCTCAACCATTTGTATCCACTGTATAATAAGATGAGGTTTACTTTATATATATATATATATATATATATATATATATATATATATATATATATATATATATATATATATATATATATATATATATATATATATATATATATATATATATATATATATATATATATATATATATATATATATATATATATATATATATATATATATATATATATATATATATATATATATATATATATATATATATATATATATATATATATATATATATAGATAGATAGATAGATATAGATATAGATATATATAATTTCTCACATGACTCTGCTCCAATAGTCTCACCATGTGGTGAAGAGGACAGTGAATGAGCAAAACAAGCTGCTCTTTGGGAAAAAAAAACAGCCACATGTCTGCTACCTCATTTATTCTCTCTCACTGGGTGAACTGCCAGTTGGGCAAATCCCCACTAGGATGGCACTTCAAGACACAGCGTAGGTCAGCAACAGAGGACAGAAGGTATTGATCCTTTGATGGCTGCAAAATTTCTACTCTGAATGGCTCAGAAGGAGACAACAGATGACCAAGCAAGCAAGGAAATGGTTATACTTTCTTTCAAGACAGGACTGAGAAGTACAAGCAGCCCCTTCTTGTCTATTTCTTGCCTCCAGCAGTGGGAACACTCCTGGCAGGTGCTGAGAGGCTGGGGAAACAAGAGACACCCTGCAAGAGGAGTCCCTTTCCCCATGTCTTTTCTAACTTTTGCTAGAAGCTAGGAAAAGAAAGCAGAGGGCTATGCATAATCTTTTTCTAGCCAACTTATTTTTCATCAGAATAAAAGCAGTCCCATTTAAGGAGGCCATAAGTAATTGTCCAGTAATAGAGAAGGATGTTCCTCATCAGGGAAGTCGAAAAAGACATAGAAATATAAACTGGAGGGGTGGGGGTAACTGAAAGATATGCAGAAGACTTGCTAATTATAAACAATTCCAGTGAAGCAAACTCTAATTCACTGAAGCATTTTTGTTGTTGTTTAGTCGTGTCCGACTCTTTGTGACCCCATAGACCAGAGCACGCCAGGCCCTCCTCACTGAAGCATACCATAATATAAACAAAAACAAAGGAAGCCATGTTGATCTATAAGAACAGAACAAAACCCCAAATCCACAAACAAGTCATCATCAGAACCAGCAACAATTCCATAATATACATCTATTATAATGAATGTTTGGATTTCGCAAGGTTTTTCCATTAAAAATCATCACTATAGTGCTCTAAATTGCAGATCACCTTTTAAATTACAGGGGGATTAGCAGCCTCTTAGCTACTTTTAGAAGGGCATGAGCTGATCATTGTGGGGATGCTTCATTAGCCTCCCCCCCCCCCAAAAAAATTCTAGAATACAGAGCTGCATCAACAGCATCCTTCCTCTCTCGCCTCTTGCGTTCACACAGGAGTGGCACACACCCAAACCATTTCAAGACCCAGATCCAAGCTTCAGTCTGGAAACCTGCCACGTGAGACAAGAGCAGGGCATGTGAATAAGAAACAGCCAAAAGATGAAAAAGGCAAATTAAAACTGTGTTTGGGGAAAGTGGATTGGATGGCACGCCCGGCGGCGGAACCTCCTTTTCCTCCAACCACCCAAGCGCTTCCCACGCCTTCCTCAGAGGTCTTGCTTTCCCACGAACCCCGTCCTGACCCGTACCGTGAGAGAGGTTGCCCGTATCGTTCTTACAGTAGCCGCAACGGTAGCCGTCATCTCCCCCAAAGTACTCTACGATGCTCGGGGAACTTCCTGCCATCATCGCCATCTTTGCCGGCCGGCTTAGATTATTAACCCCGCGCCCACAGTCCCGCCACAGAGCCCCGTTCAGCAGCCCCGAGGAAGAAGGGCGCTAGCCGCCGCCATCTTTGCAAAGGGCAAACATCCAGGAGGAGCAACCAAGGGGCTGCGGTCTCCATAGTCTTTCGTAACTTTCTTCCGGCTGCCGAATGGGATCCTCCATATGCGGGGCAAAAGTAAATAGGATTCAACGTGAACATTTTAAAGAGAGAAAAAGAGGCATCTTGAGAGTTCCCTTTAACTGCACGACAGTAGCGTTCTCGTTTCCGCCAATTATAACAAACGAAATTAGATAATGAAGTTAAATAAGGAAGTCAATACTTTTTTTTTCTGGCAGCGTGTTCTCTAAAAATATATTCTCAGAAATTCAACTGGAGATTCAGTTGTTTTGAGGAAACGTGTCTTCTATTGAATTTCTACATGTTTAGACAACTGAAGAAAGCGGAGTCAAAAGGCTTTGCCTAAATTTTTCAGTTTCGCTGTTACAAAAGAGCAGCAAACTGATTTTTCGATTACATGATTGTTATTTTTCCAGATAGAGGGGCATTTGAGAGATTTTTTTTATATACCCCAGGTGCCAAAACAATCTCACTGGCTTTGGTTAACATTACATAGAAGGCATATTCATGTCTTTGTGAAACTTTACCTGAATCAATGTCCATTATTAAATCACATCACATCTCCACAAAAAGAATCCTACAGTGGACTGATAATGGAATTGTACTTTTATTATGAGGATATTATAGGCTACTTCCTTATTGTATAAATCAGCTCATGCCAAACATGTGGTTGTAATTTATTTATTTATTTTTTGAGTACATCTTTTATTTTCCTTTTTTTCCCCAAGCGAGATTTATTTATGTATTCTTAATGAATCGTGCAGGATTATTACCGGCTGCCTGAAACCTACCCCCATTTGAAAAGTCAGAATTTCATTTTGTGGTCTCTGATTCCCTTCCAAATGGGCTCAACTTAAGCATGCATCTATGCTACTTTGCTTTCTATTTTTGCTAAAGACTTTTCTTTTTGGAGAAACATTTCCTAAGCAAAATATTCCAGTTTTATTCAGACATTTTCCTTTACTGGTTTATTCACAGATACGGCTGTTTTAAGTAACTTTCCATCCTTGAAATGTTTGCTATGAGGCGGTTTACACATTGTAAACAAATAAATGGCCGATTACATAGTACTTCCCTTTCGCACATAATTTTCTTATAGAGCCCCGCCCTAGCTGCCAGATGGGCGGGATATAAATCAAGTAATTATAAATGGAGCTGCCGTTAATCGGGGGGGGGGGCAACTACACGGCACACAACAACAACGACGCGAGACAGAGGGTGAGAATTGGGCAGCACCCCTTTTTCTTCAGGGGGAGGACCGGATTCAACATGCTCCCGTTTTCATCAAGGGGGGGCACCATCTGTCTTAGCAGCACTGCAGGCGCAAGGGGGGGAGGGAGAGAATGGGTGGGATTTGCGAGGGTGGAGATGGGCAACCTGTGTAGCTTCCGCCATCTTTATTACGGGCTCCATCGACGAAACCCCTGGTCAGCGGCCCCCTCGCACGCCGCACAGCGGAGAGTGACGCCCGTTTGTTTCCTACGGGAGGGCGGCGTCGGCGGAGATGGCGCCTGCCTTTCCCCTTGCGCTTGCCGGGAGGCAGCGGCTGTCAAAGGCGGCGAGCTGACTCCACCGCTCGCCTTGGCCTCGGCACTTACCGGTGGAGACTTTCCCCCGAGAGACCCCACAGTAGCCGCACCGGTAGCCCTCTCGGGCGCCTTCGTATTCCACTACGGAGGGCATAGCGCCTCGGGCCGCGCTTCTCCCACCGCCCTCGGAGCGAGTTGCGCCCGGCTGGCGCTCGCTTACCGGCCGCTCGCGGCGCCGGCGCCTCCAGGAGGCAGAAAAAAAAAAAGCTGCGGCCAAGCTGAGGAGAAAAGCCCAAAGTCCTCCTCGCAGGCCGTTAACTCCTTACCACCAACCTACTAATCACACCGGGTGCCCAAGACCGCAAAACGGTTCCCTTCCGGCGCGAGTCCTGCGAGGGCACAGGCGAGCTGTGAAGGGCAATACGCTCGGTTGCCGCTCGCTTCGCTTCGCATCGGCGCCGAGTTTTACCACCCATTTTACCACAGCGATGTTATTACCATACTTTCAGCAGCCCTGCCAAGTAAGTCTGCCTGGGCTGGATTTCATATTGAAGCATCCCTCCAGTGAAACCCATCTGCCACGAGGTGTTCCATGAGGCATAGGAAAACAGCCACCCCAGACAGCACAGCACCAAATGTTTTGCTGTTCAACAGGGCTACGGATGCCTCTCCCACCGGTTTGGCTCTGGAGATCCTCCAACCTGGCACTTAGGGGGAAAAAAGCCAGCTCTGCCTTTGGTGCTGGAGGAGGTTCTTGAGAGTCCCCTGGACTGCAAGGAGAACAAACCTATCCATTCTGAAGGAAATCAACCCTGAGTGCTCACTGGAAGGACAGATCCTGAAGCTGAGGCTCCAATACTTTGGCCATCTCATGAGAAGAGAAGACTCCCTGGAAAAGACCCTGATGTTGGAGAACTGTGAAGGCAGGAGGAGAAGGGGACAACAGAGGACGAGATGGTTGGACAGTGTCCTCGAAGCATCCAGGATGAATTTGACATGCTCTGGTCCATGGGGTCATGAAGAGTCAGACAAGACTAAACGACTAAACAACAACCTGCCGCCAGTTTCTGACAAGGTTGCGAGTACCTTCTCAGTAAGATGGGTAGTGGTGCAAATATGGGTACCACCAACAAACAGCCCTTGTAGCTTACCTCTTCCTTGAGTGGGCTGTGTGCAAGACAGATTAATGTGTGGAGGAAAAGAACTTCACAGAGCCCAAGAAACCCTGTCTCTGTTAGTTATATCAACACAGGAATGTTTTATTTTTGATGTCTCAAAATGCTTGCACAAAAGCATGGCTTAAGAGTACACTCCCTTCTTGATACTACCTCTAGTTTCCGGATGGACATGGCAGTACTAAATCACAGCTACAGTACAATCCTGGACTTCATTCTCTATTGCTATCAGTAACCAATAAAGAACAAAAAATAAACTACAGTGGTGCCTCGCTTAATGACGATAGTCGGTTCCAGGAAAATCGCTGTTAAGTGAAAACATCATAAAGTGAAATAAAAAGCCCCATTGAAACCCGTTCAACACGTTCCAATGGGGTAAAAACTCACCGCCCAGCAAAGATCCTCCATACGGCAGTCATTTTCGCTGCCTGTATAGCGAGGAATCCATCCCTAAACACAGCGGGGAGCCATTTTAATTACCCAGCGGCCATTTTGAAACCGCCAAGCAGCTGTTAGAAAAACATTGTTTTGCAAAGAATCGGTTCCTGAAGCAGGGAACCAATCATCGCAAAGCGATTTTCCCCCATTAAGACCACTGTTTTGCGATCGTAATTGCGATCGCAAAAAGATCATCGTAAAGCGGATTTGTCGTAATATGGGGCAATCGTAAAGCGAGGCACCACTGTAGAAGTTTTCCTTGCAGGCCAATCTAGGTGTTAAAGCTATGAACCTAAATGTACGAACTATAAACAACACATTCTTGGAATACAATGGAAATTATACTGCACTTCCATACATATTTCTTAACACAAAGTAAAGCTCAATAGCATCCACACATCAAAGACTGGATCGAAAATTTATTAGGCAAAATCCTGTTCATGCCAGTGTACAGCACTGTATCAGACAATAAAGAAATGCACAATTGGCATGTGTTCAAGAACTGGCCCAACAGAAGTGCTTTGTGGACAACACTTCCACCACAGCACTATCGTAACTTGCAGAGGCACAACCTTGAATTGCACACACTTAGTTGTGCAACAGAATTTCCACCACTGTCTAAAGTCCCATTGCTGAAAGTGACACCATGTCATCTACCACAGAGGTTTATTGAAAGTTGTTTACACTTCCTCTAAAGATCATGGAGAAGCCACTGGGGTCTGCAGAGGGTGGTTGATTTTTTTTTTTTTAAATGTAATTTTCAAAATGCTACTGGAGCAGATGACATCATCAGTGTTACACAGCACTAAGCTCCATTTACGAATTTTAGCTATTTTGTCTTTAGAAACAAAACTGATGTGGATGCATAATGCCCATATTGTGAGACCTGATCCAAAAGTTGCTGATTGCTTTACTTTTCATATCCCTGGGGCCCACTGTGAGGGGCTCAAACTATAAATTTATTAGGAATAATCAATCCACAAAATCATTGAAGGTGGTGATAAATCTCTCATTGTAGGTGGAAACAGGTGAAGAGGGAGTAATAAATAAGTTTCTGGTAAATCTGGCAATTTGCAGAAGAAAAGTGTTTCACATTTCTCTCATTAAAACAGTAGCACTTTTCCAACTAAAGACCTGCTGAAATGACAAAAACGTAGGGCAATTTCGACAAGAAACAAAGCAAAAACAAAAAAAGTGACACTTTAAAGACTAACTGCAATATTTAAATATAAGCTTTTGTGGAATACTGTCTACTTCAGACATATGAGTTAGAATATAGATGCAAAACCTTCATACACGGCTCTAAGAGACAAGAGTGTTTGGTTGCACTTCACACTTAGTAATGATTTATAACCTGTTTGTCATTCATTTCTTCTGAAATCTAGTTCTGTAAACATTTCAATAAGAAACACAAAACAGCAAAAGCAAAAAAAGTGTGGCATTTTAAAGACTAACTGTAAACAGCAACATGATTAAAGGAAACAACAGAAGAACGTGTGGTAACGTAGAGCAGTGGTTCTTAACCTTTGTTACTCAGGTGTTTTTGAACTGCAACTCCCAGAAACCCCAGCCAGCAGAGCTGATGGTGAAGGCTTCTGGGAGTTGCAATCCAAAAACATCTGAGTAACAAAGGTTAAGAACCAGTGACGTAGAGAATGACAGACTTTACCTTTGAGCTTTATTCTGAAAAGATGGGTCTGGTAGTTATAAAAGGAAATAACAGTAGATAACAACGTAATTATTATGTCTGGTAATGACTCAAGAATGACTTTATTACTTTGACTTGTATACCATTCCATTAGTGCTGGAGCACTATTCTGGGTGGTTTACAGACAGTTAAAACAAGCTATACAGCACTAAATACAGCGTAAGTAGCAAAAACATAGTCTAAAGCTTAAGGGCAATTTATAGTTGAGTCCTGTATGCAAGTTCTTTATTGAAAGTTGTTTCCTAGACTCTGTATATGCTGAAATGACATCCTCTTCCATTCTACATATATGTCTTCTACACCTGACTGACTGGTGTTGCCCAGCATTCCATTAAACTAGTAGCTCTGACAAGCTTAAAAGTATCCCCTTTCTGCTCTACAAGGTTAGAAATTGCATATGTACTGTATTTTCTATTCTGGAAGCTTAGCTGTAACCACCTCTAGTGTTACAGTTAAAACCAGGCTATTAACATTTACACTGCATGGTTAAGGTGGTATTTGGCACATCTTAAAGACTGTGTAACTTCAAACAAGTACCTCAAATCAGCATTATACTGTATTTGCAGTTTTATTAAATTTTTTAGCATAATGAGACTGAACTGCATGATTAAAATGTTACTTGACTATTTTTCATCATGATATTTAATGAAAGGTTGTAGTTCTTTTGTGTATTTTGAATTACTTTCAATGTGGTTAATGAAAAAGTGGAGATTCTATGTTCCATCAGACCCTGGCTAGTTCAAAACATGTACACAAATACAGTACCTGAATGTTGGAATGGATTTTATTGATTCTTAATTTT